GAGGCCACAACAGTGAGAGGCCCGCGTACCGCAAAAAAAAAAAAAAGTGGGGGTAGGGGGTGAGGGAGCAGCAGTAACCAAAAGTGGCCGGTACTCACGGATGTGAAGCCAAACACCTGTCCTTTAAGAAAATCAGAATGAATATGGAGAACAGAGAATAAGTAGAAAGCATCAAGAAAGCTACTCTTATGTAAAACGCAGCAAAGGTGAACCAGGAAGGGTGCCCAAGGAAGGCTCAGCCTAGTAAGAGAATAAGACTCATTATTGGTGAGGAATACAAGTAAGTCACTGAGAACATTTACGTTTGGAAATTCATAACAAAAATTTTATTTAAGATTTCATGCCCTTATAAAAAGTACATCACATCAAGATAGCAAAAAGGACATTTTATGAGAGACTCACATCCACTCATCTATTTTACCTCATAATTCATTTCCTACCCTAACAAGATAAAAACTTTTTTCCTTCTTCCTTTTCTTCCTTCTGCTCTGAAAGGGCAAGTGCCATAAGGGATATCTTAATAGAATGTGCCATTTCCTTGCCAGGAAAGCAACAGCTTCCTGCTGGCTGGACTAAAGAGAGCCACTGGCATTCCTTGTTCCCAGGCCAAAACACTCTGAACTTAAATGCAACCTTTCTATTACTTGCACTCTCTCCCTGAGTTTCTCTCTTACACACTGTACTTTAAAACAATCTTACATTTTAAGCACTCAAGAATTGCTTAAGAAATGATTAAAGGATCTAAAGTTAATTTAGTAATTAAACTTAGCAATGTTTTCTATAAAAGAATCTCAAAGTTAATAAAAATTATATGGATGGAGAAGGACTCAACAGAAAGAAGGGGGTGAATTCTGAGAGTATATACATTTTATAACCCTTGTCTCAGAGTAAGATCAATCCTACAAAATATTTAGAATGTTAAGAATGCAATTTACACAGTAAAAATGATTTGTTTTCAGGATGAAAGTATTTTTAATTTCCTTACTGCAGGTACAATGGCATCCAAGTCATCAATTTCTGTAATAGAAAAACAACAATAATAAAAGAATAGCTTTATCCACTGTTAGGCTCAGATGAAATGAGAACCTCTATTCAGAGGCAAACTTCAGACACAAAGGCAACATCACTAGTGCTTTCATGCACATGAAACTTTTCTCCAATAGTGGTGATGAGTGTATCACTGATTCAGACACAGATGCTTCACAGGGCAAAAGAAAAGCTACCACACACCTACAAAAGCACCCTCTGACTCTGATATTAATCTCATTAGCAGTGTGCTCTTATTAACAGATCCTACTAGCAACATTTATGATATTATGTTACTGTCTCTTTAACTACATGGGTGACCCTACATGGTGAAATCCCCAGTAGAGGCACTCTCTCTCATTGGCCCCCATCTAAGGACTTAGGGATTTCTTCTCTTGGAACACAGTCCTGTCCTAAATCTATGATAAAGATTTCTCATTAGTAGGATGGCTCTTAGGTCTACCTTTTAGGATGAAGCCTATCTACCTAATAAAAGGTGTGAGGTGTCTCAGAGTAAAATCTCAGATGCAATGTATTATAGAGCTTAGCCTGGTCCAGCCTACAAGATAGTTCAGGTTCTTCTCTGCCAGGTTCTTTCCGAATTTGACTTCTCTTCCTAAGACTATCTTCCTCCAACCAGCCTAAGTTAGAATTCACCATCTGGAAGTTCCTAGCCACTAAGGAAGGTCCTTTCTCTGATTATGTAGACTCCAGCCCTACTTAAGGTAAGCCCCAGTGGCAGGTTCTCTAAATTCTCACCACTTTTTTCTAGATTATTCTGCTAGTTCACTGTTCATAAACTCACTTCCTTTACATAAACATGATTCCTTGGATTCCATCTCTCTCCCTCCATGTTTAGCTGGATTTTGATTGTTCTTCCTTTAGCCAAAACACATGACCCATGCTGTTTAAGCTCCTGACTTCAGTCAGAATCCTTATCTGAATCCAGTTATCAAAATATAGGAAAGGAAAAAATATGAGCAAATCTACAGCAGAGAATTTGGTTCACATCTTACATTGTGGTAAGGTACAAAGATCAAGTTATTCCCTGACCCGCATTCTAAAATCACACCTGTTGAATTGAAGCAAATGATCCTACATGAACCATGCTGAGTATCCTATCTGAGGGGAAGTTTCTATAGAAGGATTCTGAAGTAAGTGTTGCTAGCACACCTATTAAAATGTTTATTAATGACAAGAAACTCATTGTTTAATTGCTACGCCAAAGCAAGTAAAATCATATTATTGCAGGAAACAAGGCTCTTTGAGATACAAGGCAACACATTTATACAATTCCACATCTCAAGTTAAACTTTTAAATTACATTTTTCCAAACAACAAAAAACAAAAACAAAAAAACACTTTCAATTTCAAATGAGCTATATGGGAAAAAAAAGAATTAATAAATAAATCACTTTAACCTTTTTAAAAAGTGGGGGTTTTTTTGGCCACGCTGCGCAGCTTGAGGGATTTTAGTTCCCCTGCCAGGGGTTGAACTTGCACCCTCGGCAGTGAAAGCCCAGAGTCCTAATGACCACTGGACCGCCAGGAATTCCCTAAAAAGTGTTCTTAACAGTAAGATAAATTATTTTTATAGCCATATATAATCACACTTAAAGAGAATTGGGTCTCTATTTTGCCTATGATTCCTAAGCTAATTACATTTTTTTTTTTTCCCTTTAAGAGATATTACTACTGAATCCCTCAATCTGACCAAGAGTGTAAAATGTATCTCTTCCCTTCAACAGATTTATAAATTTATCTCCTTTCTACAGATGTTTACTTTATATTACTTCTCATCACCTTAGAAGGAAATTTAATTTGTATATCTAAAAAACACAGTAAGTAGGAACTATCTTTAAAAAAAAAAGAGGGCTTCCCTGGTGGCGCAGTGCTTGAGAGTCCGCCTGCCGATGCAGAAGACGCGGGTTCGTGCCCCGTTTTGGGAGGATCCCACATGCCGCGGAGCGGCTGGGCCCGTGAGCCATGGCCGCTGAGCCTGCGCGTCCGGAGCCTGTGCTCCGCAAATGGGAGAGGCCACAACAGTGAGAGGCCCGCATAACGCAAGAAAAAAAATAAATGCGGGTTCGTGCCCCGTTTTGGGAGGATCCCACATGCCGCGGAGCGGCTGGGCCCGTGAGCCATGGCCGCTGAGCCTGCGCGTCCGGAGCCTGTGCTCCGCAAATGGGAGAGGCCACAACAGTGAGAGGCCCGCATAACGCAAGGGAAAAAAAAAAAAAAAAAAAGAGAGAGAAGAAAAAGAAGGAGAAGGAGGAAGAAGAAAAAAAAAGACACTTTCCAAGATCATAAATTCTAAGGACATTTCTCATTAGCCAATGACAGAGTCAAGGTTACACTGGGCCTAGCCAGAGTAATGTCATTTCTCATTTTAAGGTCCTAAAACAAAGGCAGCCCCCAGCTCCTTAAAGGATATATGCTTCTCTGTTCTGCAGACTAATCCCAACCAACTCTAACTGCAAGTTAGAAGTTTGTTTCCAGAACTGTTAGTGGTTTCCAGACACTTTCTACAACTCTGGGTAAAAACACTAATACAGTGACTAAGGAGCACTGTTTCCTCAAACCCACTGACATCTTGAGACTCAAACTTTAACCACCAACAACAAAGATCTTACCTAAGATTTCAAGTAGATCATTAGTAAATGCCTGAAATGCTGGGAAAAATTCCTCATGTTCTTCCAATTTGTTGATAATGCTTTAAAAAAAAATGCAGTTTACACTGAATTTCCAACTTGCATCTCACTGTTCATAGAACATTTCAAAATGGAAAGAAATTGTCCTGCTAATTTAAGTTTAATGATCATTTACTGTAATCCATTCTTTTTCAGCTCTTTGTTCATCTAGTAACACTTTTCTAAAAAAAAAAAATCTATTATCAGTGTAATCATCTGTTCTAAAGTTAAATCTATATAACATTCCTAATATAGGAATTTTCTACTTAGCTTGAGGATTCTTAAGAGACCATGCTTTTATAACATTTTCTAAAAAGAATTGGCTTTTATATCCTGTATTCTATTAAACATTAAGAATAAGTATCAGTAATCAGTAAAACTGTGGGAAGGAGAAAAAGACCAAGAGTGAGACATACATTCCTTTTAAAAGCATTAAGTATCAGAAAACTCAAGGGTCAGGTAAGGGTTCTTGGAAAACTTGCAGAACATATGTTGAAGTATAAAATCTGGGGAAGGAGGGAGGAAGAGTATAGCTATAACATTTTGATATTTTAAAAAAACATTAGGTTTTATGTCAGAGATGCCTAGCTTTTTAAAAAAAATCCTTAACATCTTCTTATCAAATAATATACATACTCTTAGTGATTATTTAGTGATCAGTGATTGATGGTAATGTACTAAAAATTGGACTTATATATTCTGAATTCACATAAAGTTGCTAATAAAGTATGAATTTCTCCATATATAATTTGGAAACAAGCTTATAGCAATAATGCTGCAGTCCTGACCCACCCTATGTAAACCTATAGGCCTTAGAGTCTACTTTTATCTTGAAAATACTTGACATTCTCTCCATCCCTGAGGTGTGAGATTATTTTAGATTATCAAGTTATTTTAAAAAATGCTATTCCAAACAGGAAAGGTAAATAACTTATGAAGTTTTGGAAGTCTTTAATTTTACCACTCCAAACATTCTGGATGGTACTTTGCAACCTTTTCAAAATAAATACCTTTGGAGGTCTTCAGGTCCCAATAGCTGCATAACCTGTTCATTCACATCTTCATTAACCAGCCTACACAATTTTCCAACTGTGCTCACCAGCACACACAATGAGGATGAACTATCTGCAAAAGAGAAATAAAAGGACAGGATCTTTTAAAAGAGAGTTTTCAAAATCATTAAATCAAACACTTTATGCTTCAGTTAGCCTTGATTTTTTAACTACTTTTTGTTGATTTATTAAAAATAATTCTTAAATGGGGGGCCAAAAATGACAAAGGGTCATCACCTAGTTCTAAGAGTTCCTGGAGGTTTCTCACAGCATTGTTCACTTCTCCAAGCCTAGTATAAACTTCATTCATTCGGGGATAGACTCCAGTTAAAGAAGGCACATCAAATAATTTTTGGAAGTGAGAAACAATAGCTCGCAAAATTTGAAAGTCTGGCATATTGCTGTCCTGCCCAAAAGAGAGGAAGAAAAAGGTAGTTTACATCTTAAAATTATTCCAAATCTTTAATAAAAACTTTCAAAAGAGAAATAGAGTTCTAGTAGAATATCTATATCCATATCATTATTAGTTTCTAAGATAAAGAGTACATTAAAATGTGAACATTTATGTAAGTATTAGGTAGTATTACCTTTTCCTTATTTTCCACTTCTTCTAACATGGTATCTACTATAAACAACAGATCTTCAACTTTGACACCTTCACTTTCATCCTGCTTCTTTAAATTATGCCAAGGCACCAGTTCTGCAGATAGTATTTTCAAGGACTTATACAAATCCTTTACGAAAGAAACAATATGCTATTACTGATTTTTAAAGTTTTCATAATAATGCTAATAAAATATAATTATCCAAGCAGGTTTAATATATATATTAACCATCATCATTAATATTTTTAAAAATACCATTATCAGTTTAGAAAAAGTCTGTTAAATTAGTTTTCTCCAGGCCTTACATCTGGAATCTGGATGTTTAAAGTAATTATATGTTATTTATTAGTAGCATATGTTATTCAAGTAATTATTTTGAAATACTGATGAATAAAAAATAAGCTTGTCCTTAATATTTTGCCCTTGATTTTTTAAATAAGATATACTGAGATGTAATTCACATACCATAAAATTCATCCTCTTTAAATGTGCAATTCAGTAGTTTTGACTTATTTACAGAGATGTGCAATCATCACCATTATCCAACTCTAGAACATTTTCATCACTCCAAAAAGAAACCCTGTATCCACTTACAGTCATTCCTCATTCTCTCCTGCTCTCAGCCCTTGGGTAACTACTAATCTACTTTCTGTTTCTATGGATTTGCCTATTCTGAGCATTTCATTTAAAAAAATGGAATCATACAATAAGTGGCCTTTTGTGACAGGCTTCTTTCACTTAGGATATTTTCAAGATTCATCCATGTTACAGTATGTATCTCCTGGAAAGTTTTTAATTCGAAAGGATGCCTAAAGTAATTCGACTTGATTTTCATGACAGCCTACTTAGTTTTCCTGGCCTAGATATGTTGTCCTAAACTATTTAAAACTGTGCACAAGAGGCCGGGCTCCTGGAAGTTTAGAAGTTTAAGACTGGTCAATCTATAAACAAATATTTACTGAGCATCTACTATGTGCATGGCACAGTGCTTGGCCCTTTAGAACAATGCCATCCAGAAGGAATGTAATGTGTGTCACAGTAATAGTGTCTAGTAGCCACATTTTAAAAAGTAAAAAGAAGTAGGTGACAATTTTAATAATATATTTAACCCAATATATCCAAAATATTATCATTTAACAGATAATCAATATTTTAACTATTTTTCTCCATAATAAGTCTTCTAAATCCAGTGTGTATTTTTTATACTTGCAGCACATCTCAGTTGGGACTAGTCACATTTCAAGTGATCAAAAGCTACATGTGGCTTAGTGGTTATTGTATTAGACAGTGCAACTCTAGAATACAGAAAGAAATACAGGAAATTCTTACTTTTCTCAACTTCTTATTTTAGTCCTCCACTTATTTAACACTCTCCAATTAATACCCAGATCTCACATATTAGTATCTTTAATCTTTCATTTGGTAAGAAGGCAGTTATCTATCTTAGCAATTCAAGGCAAAACATTCAGTGCCAAATAAATGTATTAAACAGTAAGTGCCACCAGAATTTGAAAAAAAGTCAGGAAGTCAGAGCATAACGATACTTTCATTAACCAACGTTTTTCATCAGTAAGGTGCAATTATAAAGAAAAAGTCTATAGTAAAAGCACACCAAATATAAAACTTTGCTTGAGAATAAAAGTATATAAAGCCATGGACTCCTACAGATTTTCAAAGCCTGTAAAGAATATTCAACCCCTTACCTTTAAGGAAGCCAGCTGATCTGCCCACATTTCTATTATAGGAACAAGATGCTCAAATCCACAATCTTGAACAAGATCTTTATTAAAATGTTGGGCTCCTCCTTTGCTCTGTTTATAAATTATTACTGGAGCTCTTGGATTGTGAATAATTGAATTGATGCTCCTTAATACCTTTAAAAAAGACAGTGTTTTTAGTTGAAATGTTTATCACAGTCCTATCAGAGTGATATATGTTAAAGGAGTGCTTTACATATCAATGTAACATCATTACCGAGTTAGAGATTCATTGGACAGGATTCACCAAAACAAGTGCCTTTCAAAGGACTGTATAGAACAAGTGAGTGAAAAATGCTGTTATTTTTCTTTCCTTCCCATAGAAAGCTACAGGTCTCCTGAGAATTTGATTTCTGATGCTTATTAACAAGCAGTTTTGTTGTTGCTGTTGTTTGGTTTAGAACATGCATTTCAATGTTTTGCTTCTATTATATTTAAACTCCACTTTGAATTCCATTTTAATGGAATAATTAATTCGCCTTCATTAAATTGTTAATGAGCACAGGAACATAGTCTTTCTTCTCCCTCTGCCTCACACCAAAGATTAAGGAGGGGAGCAGAACTCCTAAAAGAAATCAGGGAGCTGATATTAGCTGAGTGCCAGAAGGTCACAGCACAATTCCCTTCCATGAGGGTGGTAGTGAACCATGGGGGATTACATACACGTCTAGCAGTATGTATCCATACCTTGTAGTAGATTGTTAGCAAAAATTACTGCAATTATTACTCTTCCTTACATCCTCTCCCCTTGGCAGTATGACACTGCAGGTTCTCCCATCAAGAGGTAGAGTATTTTCTACTCCTTGAATCTGGGGTAAGCTTGGGCCTTGCTTTGGCATACAGAAAAGGAAGTTACGGTGTGCCAGCTTGAAGCCCAAGACTCAAGGGGCCTTGATTATTTCTGCTCTCTCCCACTGAGCTCTGCTGCCACATGGACCAGCACAGGCTAGATGGTGAATGATGAAAGACACATAACCCAGTCAGCCCAATCACTCTAATACAACTCCAGAGCCACTTAGCTGACTTGTACCAGATTGCAGATGCATGAGGGAGCCCAGCTGCAATCAACAGAACTGCCCAGCTGTCCAAGCACCGTAATATTAAAGGGGTGTTATTTTAAGTCACTAAGTTTTAGAAAGGTTTGTTACACAGCAAAAATAAACTGATACATATATAAAGTCAAAGATAGAATAGAGCAAGGAGAAGAGGCAGCAACAAGAGAAGTCTGCCCTTTTACGTGGTGGTATGATAAGAATATACCCTGTGACCAAGTGGACACTTTGGAAGACAGTCAAGCTTTGCTTTCACGAAAAAAAAAAAAAAGCTACCTATAGCTGTAGGACCCTAAGGGAGTGTCACTTGAACAAGAGGAAGAGAGGGATTCATAAGAGATAGCTGGAAAATGCATTGCCCACAGAATGAATGGTACATTGCCAAGGTCCCTAGTTGGTAGGGAGGAAATAACTGCGTGTGCGTGCGCATGTGCGCACACACACACACACACACACATTCTGTGATAGAGAAAAACAGGCAGTATTTGGTCATTAGCCACACAAAGGGCACCAGTACTAGATTATACCAGCACCAGTCGAGAAAGATTCTACCCTTTTGCTTTGTGTTCTCACTCAACATTCACCCTCACTGACAACCTGGAAGAAGCTAGATATAGCAGAGGACTAGGAGCAAAGGGGAGCAATGAGAATAAAGAAACAGATCACACCCACTTGCCACACTGCTTATTTGGAGAAGCATAGGTCAGACATGAGATAAAGTAAGCATAAGGTAGAAGCCTTGAACTGGATGAGAGATTGAAGTTTTGACTGAGATTTGAATGACTTTTTCTCCCAATTTTTCAACACGGAAATTTTGAAGCATACAGAAAATAAAAAAAATAAAAACAATAAATACTATATTATATAGTCAGTGTTCACCAGAAACAGAACCAATAGGATGTGTATATGTGTGTGCAAATGTCTGTGTATTTATTTATTATAAGGAATTGGCTCACACAATTATAGGGGCTGACAAGTCCTGAGATCTGCAGTCTGCAATTGCTGAGATCTGCAGTCAGCAATGCAGCAATGCTGCAGTCAGCCAATGGCATAGTTCTAGTCTGAATTCCCACAAGCTTGAGACCAAGGAAGAGCCAATGTTTCAGTTCAACATTTGAAAGCAGGAAAAAAAATTGATGTCCCAGCTCAAAGGCAGTCAGGCAGGCAGAAAGTTCCTTCTTCCTCAGCCTTTTTGGTCTACTCAGGTCTTCAAGTGACTTGATGAGACCCAGCCACCACGAGGAGGGCACTCTGCTTTACCCAGTCCACCATTTCAAATGTTACTGTCCTCCAGAAACACCCTCACAGACACACCGAGAACAAGGCTTGACCAAATTATCCGGGCACCCTCTGGCCTAGTCAAGCTGGCACATAAAATTAACCATCACAAGTCCACCCCTTGTCAACTTGGCACCCATACACTTTGCCTTAAACCATACTTAATCTCCAAATAAAGACAATAACAAGATCATGGATCACCAAACATGATACAACTGTGCTGTGTACAACCAAAAATGTATTAACCCCTTTGCCAGAAGAGGAGGTAAAGTCCTAAAGTGAGGATTACTCTTCTCCTTGATACCCTGTAACTTAAAAACTATGATATAAAAATAACAATACTCAAATATAATGACACAGTCATTATATGATAAGAGAATAAGAGCAGGAAAAGAACAAAGATATTTGCCATATATATATATATATATATATGTATTTACAAATATATACATATACATATACACATACACCCATGTGAACATATTCATAACCAAATAAGGAGGAAATACACATGACAATTATAATCCTCATTTCTATAAGTCATCATATGGTCACAGCTGGTATTTATCACTGCTTTCTTCCATTACATTTTTTTTATTATGTTTGCCTTCAGCAAGCAAATCAGCTGGTCCTGGTCCTTTACTTGCTGGGGTAATCCAAATCTTCATTTCTGAAGGGTCTGGGCCATTAGTAGTTCTGCCTAGACCAGGTTGTTGGAGTTTTCCATTGACATTTATCACAAGGCATGGCAATACTAAGAGATGCCCTAAGGGATGGCCTATATTCTAGACATTCTCTTCCTTTCCTTCCCTGTGGAGTGGTAGTACACTGCTCAAAGTTCTGCCCAGTGGGAGGATTTCCCTTCACTACTTTCCTTCAGGGATGTCCCAGACAGAAGCTGTAGTGTTGCAGTTGTCTACTTTAATGTGGTCCCTACAGATTATGCAGAGCCACCTGTAAATCAGGCCTAAGTCTCCCCTTCTTGTGTCAATTGATCATAGGGAACTCCCCATGTGGCCACAGGTGCAGGCTGGGGGAGAGAAGGTAGTGCAGCAAGAGTGGGAAACCACAGGCATTTGGCCACCACTTCATGTAATTTATTGTGCCTTCAGGGCCTGCTCAGGCCCAATTTCATATGTACCACCTTCATTTGATGACAGAGTGCTGCTGTGCTCACCCAATCTTATGGCTTGGTGGGTCAGATGACACCCAGCTCATGACAGGTAATTCAGGTCACATGGTAACTTTGTGGCCCACCGTTAAGCCTTTTACTCAGGCCCCGTAGCAGGCCAAGAGTTATTACTTAAAAGGAAAGTAGTTATTTGCAGAGGATGACAGAATTTTTCTCCAAAATCCTAAGAGCCTGACTTATGATTCACCTACAGGGGCCACCAAAGGCTCCATGCAGCATCCCTACCTGCCATGACAGTCTAAGCCCCATCGGATCTGCTGGATCCTGTGGCCCGAATGGCAGAGCAGCTTGCATGGCAGCCTGGACCGATGCAGAGCCTTCTCTTGTTCTGGGCCCCACTCAAAATTAGTGCCTTTTCAGATCACTCAGTAAATGGGTTGGAGTAACACATCACATGAGGAATATGTTACCTCCAAAATCCAAAGAGGACTACTATGTGTTGTGCCAGGTTTTTGGTTGTAAGAGGTGCCAGAGCAATAACTTATCCTTTACCTTAAAGGGAGATCTTGACATGCCCACACCACTTGAGCCCTAGAAGTTTCACTGAAGTAGAAGGCCCCTGAATTTTTGGTAGATTTCTTTCCCATCCTTTAACATGCAAATGTCTTACCAATAAGTTGCTACTTCTTGCTCAGTAGGTCCAATCAGCATAACGTCATCAATGTAATTGGCCAGTGTGATATCTTATAGAAGGGAAAGGTGATCAAGATCCTTGTCAACTAAATTATGATATAGGGCTGGAGAGCTGATATACCCCTAAGGCATGACAGTGAAGGTATATTATTGGCTTTGCCAGTTTAAGCAAACCACTAGTGGTGGTCCTTATTGACAGGTATGGAGAAAAAAGATTTTCTCATCTCATTCAGAAACATTCTCAGAAAAACCCAGAATAATGTTTGACCAAATATCTGGGCACCCTGTAGCCCAGTCAAGTTGATACATAAAATGAACCGTCACAAACACCCATATAATTACTACCTAGATTCAATAATTGTTAACATTTTGCCATATTTGCTCACTCTATATTTTGAGCTGAACCATTTGAAGAAACTGCAGACAGGATAACACTTCACTCCCATACATACTTAAGCATGCATCTCTTAAAAGTAGGCATATTCTTCTACAAAGTCATAATGCCATTATTATAAATAAGAAAATTAAGAATAATTTCCCCCCAGACACACCTACAGTCAGTATCTGACAAAGAAGGCAAAATACACAATGGAGGGAAAAAAGTCTCTTCAGCAAGTGGTGCTGGGAAAGCTGGACAGCTGCATGTAAATCAATGAAGTTAGAACACTCCATCACACCAGAAACAAAAAATAAACTCAAAGTGGCTTAAAGACTTAAATATAAGACAGGACACCATAAGACTCCTAGAAGAGAACACAGGCAAAACATTCTCTGACATAAATTGTAGCAATGTTTTCTTAGGTCAGTCTCCCAAGGCAATAGAAATAAAAGCAAAAATAAACAAATGGGACCTAATCAACTTATAAGATTTTGCTCAGCAAAAGAAACCATAAACAAAATGAACAGACAACCTATGTACTGAGGGAAAATATTTGCCAATGATGTGACCGACAAGGGCTTAA